TTTAAATCGTGCATACAGCAAATAGTTTGTCAATTTTTTTTTGATTTGAACAAGTTGGGTTAATGAAGATGTAAATAAAATATTTTATTTTCTTCCAATAACCTAAATGAACTTAATGTTATAATTTATGATTATATTTTACAAACTTTTTTCTTCTTCTAAATATTAAGTATATCAAGCAATATATAATTTATTTTAAATATTAGATTAGAGTATAAATTTATTGCTTTAAAAATAAAATTATCATTTTATTTCTTAAGCTCTGTACACAATTAAATAACAAAGGAGAATTTTTGGATGCCAGTATTTGGCTTGCTGAATTAAAAAGTAAATCTTAAAAAGTTATTTCAAATACTCTTTTGCAAATGAATTCTTGATAAACAGTTAACAACTATTAACCTTAAATTTATTCAAGATCAAACTATTTTAAAATAATAAAATTTTTTAAGTAATAACCTAATTTATCTGTGCATGATTTATTAACAACATGCTCTCTTTTATGAGTTCATTTTTCTCATATCTTTCCTAGTTATTTCAATTCAAATACTTTAAATTGGAAGATATTGGAAAATGCTACAAAATTAATTTTTGATATTGTAAATGCAATAATTAAATATGTTATCAATATCAGAAGGAAAGTCCATGATTTAATCACAAGAAAATTTAAATTCTATCTAATTCTAACTTTTCAAATCTTGACTACAGATCTAACATATAAATAATTTTTCGCTCAATATGACTTCATTAAATAAATTAAAGGTTTAAATGATGAGATTTCGAATATTTTCATAATAAATTGTTTAACTACATATATATACTACCTCAAGTTGCCAAATATATTATATAAATTTCTATTAAGTTATTAAAATTAACAATTAATGAGTTAAATTTCGAATATCGTTTGCCTTGTTGATGTTAAACATTAGTTAAAATATAAATAGGTTACTACTTTGAATTAATAAACAATAGGTTTCTATTTGAAGTTATTTTCTTAAATATTTAATATTAAACATTTCCCAAAAAGATATAAAACATCATCTACCTTTAGTCCATAAGACATGAAAGTGATTAGAATTAATTTATAAAGATTATTATAAGATTGACTTCTTTATATTTTTTCAATTATCTTCACTTAAAAATTTCAATTCATTCCAATGATATATTTACATTTATAAAATGCAAAAATAAGGCAAAAATTATTTTGAGGATTTTGTTGTAATTATCACATCTCTTCTTAATAATTTCTAATTATTAATAATTTAAAGTAATCAATAGAAATCTAATATATTATTATCATACTATAAAATTATTTCCTTAATTGCCTTTTAGTTTGCTTTTCTATATTTTTTAATATCTTATTCTTTCAATTGCAATTAATATTAATTGTCCTCCTCAATAGCTTTAGAATTCATTCTCTCTTAACCATCTATGAGTTAGAATAATTCTATTATTTTTATTCTTCACTTGATTCATCATAATCAAATTATTTATTTTCTTTAAATTCCTTATAACTTCAATAATTTGTCTACTTCCCTTGATAAATTTTAAATATCATTTTGAGAAATTTCAAGAGATAAAAATATTACATTTTTTCTACCTATATCTATCTATATCGATTTCTAGCATTAAAGTTATAAATTTAATCATACTAATAGTGCTATTTATAGTAAAAAAAATGTTTTTATTTATTTTATTAAGAGAGTTCCAAATTAACTTAGTAATTTTCAAGTTACTTTTTTAACTATTCTTATTTAATTGTGTTATATTAAGAAATAAAGCGAATAGAATATATTGTCACGAGTGTTTAAGATTAGGAGATCATACTGCTCATCCAAATGATCAATATGATTTGAGAAAATTACTTTAATTTATAGAACAAATAAGATAATAAAGTGATGAATTAATTGAAAAATTAACTTCAAGTATTGAAACAATTAATTAATCATTTTCAATTTTAAGTTAAGGATTAAAAACAAAATATTAACTATCAGAAGAATAAATAAAAAGATTTGATGCAAAATAGTTAAATTAAGCATTGGATTAGTTGCTAAAATATAATGAAACCACAAAAGGAATATTATTAGATGTCGAGAAATGTTCAAATGAAACATTCATTTAATTTAATAGAATTAGCTCAGAGTTTAAACTAAATTAATTAATTTATTATGATCAAATTGAATAATAAAAATGTTAAGCTTCTGATCTAGATATATTATGCCAAACTCACCAATAACTTCTACTAACTTTCAAGCAATCTTAATGTCTATCTATAATATGAAATTGATTAAGTGATTTGTCTATCTGAAAAATTTATTTTTTTTAGAATTTTATTAAAACCTTTGAAGAAAAAGATAAGGCTTCTTGTCAGTGTATTATTTTTTAAGAAATGATTCCTTTGTGGAATTATTAGAAAATCTTTTATTGTAAAATCACAAAGCAGCTTCTCTTAAACAAGTCTTCATTTACTAATTGAATCTAAACCCAAAATAATTTTGAAAATTCACAGGCTAGCTCATCAAATTTTTACTTTGAAATTTGTTTTTAAAAACTATTTTAAATATGGGAAATTTATGGTATAATAGACAATCCTATATTATTCCATAAAAGTTAGGAAGTATGGGAGTTACAATATTATTTAAGATTAATTTATCGAATTAATATAGAGTATAATAAAATTAATAAAGAGGAAGTAGATGATTTATGAAGTGAGATAGATAAATCATTCAATTACAAAGTTAATCATGTATATATAAAAAATCTTACTCTATAAAATATTTATCAATAATGTGGAAATTTATTTTTTTAAATACTTACTTTATGAGATAATCGAAATAATTTTATAAATTCTATTTTGAAGAAAATGGTTTTTCTTTAGAAAGCTATGCTTTAAAGTTATATAAATCATCATAGAAATATAATTTATAAGCAGGCTTATCTTACTTAAATTAAAAAAGTGATGTGTATAAGAATAGAAAATGAATTTGTAGAAGTTAACTTAAAGATTTAGTTAAAAGAATGAGGGAATATGCAAATAAATCAATACCAAGAATCAACATTAATTGATCTGATAGAATTTAAGTATCATCAAGAAACTAAGTTTAGAGATTATGATATTTAAGCAAGATCCTTCCAATATGTGTTCTCTTAAAAATAATATCAATTATATATCTGCCACACATTAAATATAGCAAAGAAACAAATAAAAATCAGACTTTGATATTATAGACAATGTATAAATATAATTTAAAAGATAATTTAATTGTTCGCCTTCCTTAAATTTTAATCTTTTTTAATTCTATGTTTGTTTTTTTTAAATTTAAGTTTTCTATACAATGTTTATTTCAAAATAGAAATAATAATTACTTATTTTAATTGATAGGAAGCATATAGATAATAAAATTAACCTTTCATAATTTTATGAATCGGAAATTAAAGAAATTTTAATTAATCATTCAAATAATTTTGAAGACCTTTTAGATGAAATATTTTTAATTATTGAGAGATTTCTAATTTAATTTATTTTTATTACAAAATTTCTAATATTAATTAACTTCAAATAAGATTTCTTCTAAATTTTCTTTGATTATATATTTAAATTTTAAACTTTTTTAATAATCAGCTAAAAATATTAAAGAGGTACTCTATAAATCATTTACAAAATAATTCGATATTTAGCTTAAAGAATTAGAAGATAAATTGATTAGTTAAATGAGTTTTTGGCAAATAGATCTTAGCTCGGTGTACAAAATTTTAGCTTAATAATCTAAAAATAACCAAAAAATAAACTTTATCATCCAGCCAGACAGATATAAAATGTTTTTTGCTATATACAATACGATGATGATGAATTTCAATTAAGTCCTAACAGAAACTTCATAAAAGAGTTTACATTTCAGTGACCTTTTTAAGACTTCCCTAAATACTATTTATCATCTACAAATATAACAATGATTGTTACTAATTTAATTGATACGGCATTCAAATTACAGAAATATCAAAGATCAGTAGATATTTAATTAATTATTAGAGTTTAAAGTTTAAATAAGACGTCTTTATTAAAAATTATTTTGGGAAGCTTCTTTCGATTGGTATGTATATGGTGATAGAAGAATTCAAGTCATTAAAGCTGTAAATTAAGAAATCTAACAATCAAGCCAAATTTCTGCTGCTTAAATCACTCACCCTCATTTCAATCCTAATTTTTCAAAAGGAAATAGCTATTTAATATCTTTTTGTTACGCAGGGCCAATTGATTTTTCATTTTTTTTATTGCTATAATTAGATGGTTAATAAGATTGAGGTGTTTATGTATTGCTGAACAATTTCAAAGATTTTTTGCCGTTGATAATTAAAACTGTGAGAACAAGTCAAAAAGTAATCGTTATAAATTACACTATAAATTCTATAATGAGAATTAGTAGAATAAAGTAAATTATGTAGTTTAAAGGATAATTTAATAATTAAGATATTATATATAATGATTAATTTCCAAATTCTTATTGAAGTTTTTATGAGAAGAATTCTAACATTATTCAATTCTAAAATCTTTTTAATTGCATTTCAAAAACCAGGTATATTATATGTTATCAAAAGTATGTCTAATTTGATTTTAGTTATTGTGAATAACAATGGATAATAAGGGGATATTAAATATGTTTTTATTGTGGTTTTTTAACCATAAAATTTTTATTCAAATGATTATTGAAATTATTTTAATGGATAGCATGATTCATGATTCGTATTGTATCTATGGATCCATTATTCTAATTATATTT